GAGTTTATAATACAGTAATACTATGTCAGAGTTTTTATGTTTATGACACTTTTGTTCCCCTACTATAATAACGATACAGCCCAGAGGCTCCCGCGTCTCGAACTGGGATTCCAGCTCCAAATCCAGCCACCTGGGGGGAGAAACACCAAAGCCCGCAGCGCAGGAATACGACTCGACGAATCGGGCTCCACGTGGGATGCCGGCACTTCCAGGCTCTCACCGGAGCCGGGTGGCCGCAGCGACGAAGCTGCGCACGTGCAGACATTGCTGGCATGATCTGGATCAGCTCCACAGATTTGCTCTGGCCGTCGCTCGGACGTCCATCCAGTGTGTTGTTCGGTTTCGTGCATGGTTTCCTCGCCAAATGATTCAGTCGGACCTGTCACTCTACAGGGGGAATATTCAAAAATAATCAAAAATAATCAGGGGACTATTTTTAGAGTATTTGGGGGCATCTTCTTGAATATTTGTTGATTTTTTGTTCGTCGAAAATCCCCCTATATGGGGGGAGCGCCCGACGTAACCAGATGATCAAGGCTGCTCCCCGATTGTCCCCGCCGAAGGAAACATGCACACGTCCGAGCGATGCCAACCAAGTGCTTGGCTTATGTCGGGCGTGTCCCCCTACAGGGAGATTTTTGCAGAAAAATATAGCATACTGAAGAAGTGCCCAAAAAAGGTCAAACATACTAAAAAAATTGTCCCCTGACTATTGTTGGAGCATGTTTGGATTATTTTTAGGGTATGTGTTATTTTTCGTCGGAAACGCCCCTGTAGTGGGACAGGCCCGACTTCGTGCTTGGCACCCGCGCGCCAGGAGCCCCCGGGCGCGCGTGCACCCGAGCTGCCCTTCGCAGCCCGGCCCCTGGACCCCCCCAAAAAAATTGCTCCCCGCGGGCCGCTTCCTCGGCACGGACCCACGTCGGGCGCGCCCACCATGCAGGGGGATCTTCGACGAGAAATAGAACATGCTCAAAACATACTCGGAAGATGCCCCAAAATTTGGCGGGATGCAAATGGGGGATAAGTCCAGATAGGGGAGAGAGGCGCAACCGAGGTGCAAATTGTACCTACGCCCCACGGAGAAGGTACAATGTGTACCGACGCCACGTAGACAAGGAACAAACTGTACTTTTGACAACGTCCGCGACATGTGCGAGGATGTTAACGGGGGGGAGAAGGTACAATTTGTACTTGCAACCCGCAGAGAAGGTACAAAATGTACCCCAACAAAACGGTACCGGATACTCATCCCCCCATGTCCTGATCCCCCCATCGCCATCCGGCCGAAAAATACTCCGAAAATAGTCCCCATACTATTTTTGGACTATTTTTGAATATTCCCCCTGTAGAGGGACAGGCCCGACTTAAGCCTACTCCGAGAGCGTGCCGGATCTACACGCGTCTCGCAAACCCACCCAGCCGACGTTATGTCTTTCTCACAGCGTGGAGCCGAGGAGGTCTGGACCATTTGACCGGGAACGGCTCTCCTTCACAAGGAATTTTCTGAAAATCCAAGGTCCCGGTAAGGCCACCGCTGAGGACGACAATGGCAGAACTGATTCCGCTGCTTTTTGTTCGAGACGCCTGAAAGCTGGGAGCCCAAAGTATCCCCACAAAGTGGCACGGGGCGTCTGAGAGCCGCGCCTCACTTCTTGGCAACGGCGGGCTTCTGCGGTGGCGGATCCTTCTTCCACATCGCGGCCAAGCGGGGGTCGTCCTGCAAGACGGGACGAACACCATCACACCGACGGCTCCCTACCGCTGCATGGCTGTTGGACACATCCCCACTACGGCAGGTTCGCGTCGTGTAGACCCCAGCGCTGGTTCCTGACACCGCGAGGATCGTTCAACCTTGAACGATCGGTCGTTCCCGCACCGTCCGATCGTTCAACGTCGACCGATTCTAGGTCGCTGGCGGCGTTCAACTTTGAACGCCGGCGGCGGGGTCGCCGCAGGTCGACACGACGTGGACCCACCGTACATGACTTGCTCCGGGAACCCTGAGTCCCAAAGTGTTAAGCATCTCTGTGGGTAAGGACCGCCCACTTCTGCTCTCTCTCTCTCTCTTGCCTTCGGCACCGCCCCCGTTCTGGTCCCGCCATCCCTCTGCCGCCTCCCGCCGCAGCACAACCAAGCGGCAGCTCCTCGACCCCTTCGGCAGCAAATCCTGGGAGCCTGGCGTACCCTCTTACCTCAGTGTTTAGCCTCGACTGGTTTCGACTAGCGTCTGGGCGTCGACGAGATGGTGCCGATTTCGCGTCGGCTAGCGCCGATTCGCGTCGACTTAGCGTCGACCAGCGTCGAGCCGACAAGAGCTGTCACCGAAGACCCCTCGGAGGCGAGGCCCGGCCTGGAGCGCCCCGCACCTTGACGAGGCGTCCTCGCCTCTGGCGACGCAACCGCTCCACGACCGCAGATCCTCTTGTGAAGCAGGGGCCGGCCGTCCTGGCTTTCCTATATGAAGGGAAAAGTAGGACACACAAATAAATACACACAAATAAAAATATCCCCCATATTTTCCCATATTTTCTGGGTGTTTGTCTTCCCCACCACTTCCCATATGTTTGCATATTTTCCTGGGAGTCGACAATTAATTGTGTCTGTGTGTTTCTTTCCCTCCTGACTATAGGCCTATCACGACATGTTCTTCGAACTCAAAGGTGTTCGAAAAACCGAACGATGTTTTCAGAACGTGAACCCAATGACTTGAAAGAGTGCAATCTCGGCCAGACATGCTCTAAGAACATCCCGTGCAGACCACAAGAAGTTCTTAGAACATTCTCCGGTGAGCCTATAGGCGAGCCAGAACGCTTCGCCACTGCTTGACGTGTGCCTCGTCGGTGCTTGCGCGCTGGCGGCGGGCACGCGACGATCGGAGCTGACGTAGGGCCACGCAAGGCACGGAGCCGACTGGGAGCCACGAGCGATCGGAGCCGACTCGGGGCCACCCCCGCCGTGAGTCTGCGGCGTGCTCGCGTGCGCTCTGCCCGACGGAGCTGACCTGGGGCCACGCAGCGACTGGAGCTGGCTTGGGGCCACCAGCGGTCGGAGCTGGCTCGGGGCCGCCCCCGCCACGAGTCTGCTGAGAGCTCGCGTGGGCTCTGCCCGACGCCGCGCCTCGAGCACGCGGCGGAACGCCCTGTGCGCGCCTGGGCCCCGAGATGCCCCCAGGGTGTGGCGCTTGAGCCTCCAGGGAGCCGACATCTTACCAGCCTGGAACATATCCCTATCCCCTATGCTGGGCACCTCCTCATCACGATGCCAATCTTAGGGCTTCCCTTATTTTTGAGGGCGAGCCCCTAAGATTGTCATCGCCTTTTGGCGTGTCAATCTTAGGGATAGGGATACGCTCGAGGCTGGTAAACATCGTGAATAATGCTCACATCGCATTTGTTCATCATTTCCAATACTGGTTGTCAGCCGGGTGCGGGGGGCGGCGTGGATGTCGGGATCACCGGGGCGATTTGGAGGAGGAAATATCTCCGCCACCGAGCCTCTGGGCACGGCGTGGGCGTGTCCTCAGGTCCTTTGCCTGATCCTCCCAGCCTCAAGCCCCACTCCTGAAGAGCATTCTGAGGGGCCAGACCCCAGATTCCGCAGTCTCCCTGGGCTCCCAGCGAATCCCCTGGGGCTTGCAGCGTGCCCCTGGGGCTTCCAGTAATGGTGGCGCTTAGGCGCTGTGGGGCACGTCGGGGCGCGGGTGCGCTGCGATCGGCGCAGTATGCCTCCGACATTGCAACTCACATGCATCCAGACTGACCTTACCACATCGACAATCTACGCAAACCTGAAAAGGCCGTCCTCGAACTGGGAGTGAGGGTAATTGTGGGAGAACCTGGTTCCTAACGAGGAGCAACGAATCAGAGGTACTGCTCGACGTGCCTCTGCCGTAGAATCAATTGTTGTTACATGCAAGCGTCCTTAGTCACGCGAGCCACTTCGTACCATATTGGGCGGATTTCAGATTGCAAGGCATTTTCAGATGCGCGCTGGTGCTCCGTTTGGGAGCTCCTGCGAAGCCGTCTCGGACCGCAAACGCCAGGTTCGGGGCTCGGCCGAAAGGGCTTTGGCCTTCCTACCCGCCACCGTGTCCGTCCTGCCGATGGGGCCAATACGCACCGCAAATAAACATCCGTATCCACATGTTCTGGAATCCTGCCTCGTGACCCAGCGGTCGAGAGGGATAGTATCCCGCCCTTAGGTGCGAGTCGACATCCGCATCCACCACTCCTCGAGATCATGCTGCACGACTCCGAAGCGCTTGAGAATGGCGATCACCTCTCGGCCGTGTGCACAGGGGCGGCACCCCCAGCTATTCAAGCGCAAGTGCGTTGAGCTCAGGCACGTGCGTTGAAATCTTCACCAGAACATGATCAGCTTCGCCTTGCAAGTCGTAATTGAAGCGTTGTGCCTGGATTCCGTGTGTGAGACAGAAGTGCAGGAGTGGTCTGCAACGTATCAGGGGGGATGCCCTGGTTGTTGCATGGCGGTGTTTGCAGTGCAGCCTATTGTTTGCCAAGTGTGCGCTGCCGCAGCATCAGTTAGATGCGTTTGGTTGCCCAAGCCTGAGCTGATGAGACCGCGTGCGAGAAGGGCGTGATTTGGGGGGTTCAGGAAAGGTGTGAGTCCCAAAGCGTAAGCCTCTACGATCATAGGAATAACGCGGTTTGCATTGCACGTCGGGCGCATCGCTGCGCCTCTTACTGCAAGTCTTTGTGTGACGCACTCTGTGTTTGCTGCTTTTGGTGTCATCATCTTGAGCTGAGTTTCCGCGTGCGAAGCGGGAGTGGGCTGCAGGGTGGAAAGTCGAACGCGCCCACCACTACGAGTAGAAACACATGTAGTTGCGATTGCAGGTTTCGTGCGTGCTGTTGCATTGAAGGCATGTGCGTTACGTGTGCCTGCTATGTAGCTACCTGTGCAACTGTTAATGATGCGCTGTGCTCGGATGCTTCCGAGCCTTGGACGCCGTGCTAAACGTGATCAGTTTGTGGAGGTTCCAGGGAGGGTGTGATGTCGAACGCGCCAACCACTGCAAACCAAACGGCCGACCCCAATGCGGGCGCAAAGATGTGAAGATGCTGAATGGCTCGTGTCTTTTAGGTGTGCTGTCTTTCGTTGCTCGTCTCTTGTCTCTCCAGGCCTGTTCCCTTTATCGTGTCTGCAAAGGGACTCGAATTAGTCTGGCGAAGGGCCAAGCCCTGTGCAACCGATGCGTCGCGCATGGGCGCGGCCCTCTCCTGTACACTGGGCGCCGTGGTGTGGAGGGATCGGGCGGAAGTGCCGAGGTGGCTTGGGGCCTGCTCATGTTGAAAGGCGAACATGACACTCCTGGTCCTCCTCCTCTTCACTACCATGGTTCTTCTTCTGAGCATCCTCATTCTGATCCCCCTTCCTGGCGCGCAGCTGGATTCACACGTGGAACCGTTGGGTGTCACTCGAATGTGCGGTGGAACCCTGCGGGGAACGAACCACCTGAGGGTTGTGCCGCCAAGCTGAGCGTGGGTGAGCGAAGAGGAGGAGTAGCTGAACATGCACGCGCTGAGGAGACAATGAGAAAACAGCCCACGGAAAGTGTTGGTCGTCCCCTATTGCGCTCAATAGCGCGCCCGCCCGGGCGCAAAGCAGACACAATGCATCTCCAACACATGGCGCCATTGGGCGCTACTGATCGCTGCTGGGCGCCACTGACGCGCTACTCGGCGATCCTGAGCGATATTGGGAGCTGTGTGAGCGCTAATCGCCGATACAGTCGACCTTTACCAAAAGGCGCACGATAAGGATGCAATGACCTTGGAAGGCCGTGTCGAAGCGTTTCGAGCGGGGCGCGGCCAACGAAAGTGGCCACGGATGGACCGAGGAGGCAAGGATGCAAGACTACCCTTGGAAAAATTGCCCATCCTTGCTATGCGGGTTGACTGTATACAGTCAATCCAAGACGATCAGGAATTTGCCGATCGGGAACTTCCGTGACTTACTGTTTGCGGTCGGAGACTTTGCGTCCCTGGCGACACGCTATATATATATATATATATATATATATATATGTTGTGAGTGGATAGCATGTCGCTTCATTCCGCGGGGCGGGAGGTCGGGGAAGGCTCGGACCGATGATGCTCGGGGACACGGACGTACGTAGCGTGTCGCACCGCAGCGTGGTGGGCCAGAACTGGTGGAGCCGCATGCTAATGGGCGCGGCCCTCGCCTCAGACACTGCGAGACGGGGTACTTTTGGGCGCTGGTGGTTTCTGTGGGGCACAATTTGAACGCCACTCGGCGCTGCCATCGACGCTGCTAGGCGCTATGTTGGGCGCTGTTTGTGTATAATTCGTCATGTGCGTCCATGGGAGAACAGACAATGGCATAAACTTACAATGGTTGAGGTCCGCGCAGATTTCTTGGATCGGCGCTGGACCCCTCCCTGGAGTGCAGAGCTCGCCAGTGGCGGCGCCGGAGGCGCCTCCAGGGGGGCTCCCTCGAACAAAAATTATGGTTGTGTCATGGCTTGTTCCCGGGTGCAGCGCCCGAGCCCATACCCGGGACCGAACGGGGCCATGCGATCCCGTGCTTGGGGAAACCGATAGGTACCGATACCGCTACTCCCAGGACCTCTACCGGGGGTGCGTGCTGACCAGAATTTCGAGCACCTCCGCGACGCACTGCTCAAAGGGCACAGGCCCCACGAGGACGGCGGGCCGCGGGCGCGGGGCGGGGGGGGGGGGCCCAGGGGCAGCAGCGGGCGCGGCGTCCTGCAGCATCCTCTCCAGCTCCTGGAACTTCTCGATGGCCTGATGCAAACCCTAAACTATACATATATATATATGTGTGTACATATACATATACAGTCGGCCCATATCAGAAGGATGCGCGATGAGAATGCAAGGGCCTTGGACGCCCACTTCGAAGCTCTTCGAGCGGGGCGCGGCCAACGACAGTGGTCAAGGATGGGCCGAGGAGGCAAGGATGCAAGGGTGCCCCTGCGAAGGCTGCCCATCCTTACTACTATGCGGGTCGACTGTATATACGCTTGTGTATGTACATGATACCTTCGTATGTGTACATGTATGTGTGTATACAAATGGGTGTGTGCGTTTGTAGAGATGCGCGGGGGTGCATTCTCGACGTCGGCGTTGTCCCCAGACTATTTTTTGGACTATTCCTCCTGTGGAGGGACAGGGCTGACTTAACTCTTGGCGGCCCGCCCGGGTTTCTTGGATCCGCGCTGAGTCGCCCCTCCCTAGCGCGCTCCGCGCGCCAGGGGCGGCGCCGGAGGCGCCGCCAGGGGGGGGGCCCAGCGCGGATCCAAGAAATCCGCGCGGAGCGCCTCGAGTTTATGTCTCTGCCGTGCTTCCTGCTTCCAGAAACGGCGGCATCGAGGGAAGGGCAACATACCCCATCTGGGCGGCCTGGACCCTCTGGGCCCCCTCGGGTCAGAACTTGGCTCTCTGGCGGCCCGTTCGGGACCATCCGGGCAACCGCCGGAACGCTTTCGGCGAGGCGCCGCCGCTGGAGAGCGTCCTGGACCGCCGAGAACCGACGAGGACCTTCGAACGCCTCGAAGCCGAAACCGTCGAGACCCTTCGGCAAAAACTTCCTCCGACGCCCCCGAGGGCGTCAGGCCAGAGGACCCAGGCCGCCCAGACCCCATCTGGGCGTCGCGAACAGCGACGGCTGCAGTTGGGAAGCCATGGAGGCCGTGGCCGCATACTCATACCTTCGCCGAGTCGTCCGGGGCTTGTTAGAACTATTGCTACACGCATTGCTACACGCACTCCACCTTGAACAGGAACTTGTCGATGCCATGACTGCACAGGCGCCTCCAATGCTGCCAGGACAGCGCTACGCAAAACAAGGCCAACTTGACCAAATCCAACCAATGTGCTTCCACCTGAGCTCCACGATGTCGCTCATGGTTAATCCCCAGCAATTTGGATCCGGTCAGGCCGCACATGTACAGCATGCTCAACAATGAAGCTGCCTAATCACGTCTTGATGCACGAAATGTCTGGCTTGTCTACCTCAGGAAGGGCTCGCCCGGGAACAATCTGTTCGAGGGACGCGTCGCGCGCCTCGACCAACACCCTTCGAGCCATGGGCTCAAACATCTTGCTGCTGTTAACCTGCATTAGTCCTAGCGTCCTGGAAGTCAAGCTCAAGAGCATGCACATGCGCATCGCGATGAAAATGTCGCCGTCCGCACCAAAATTCACGATCGGGTCAACTCGCTCGATGTTCTCGTCGAACTTGGCCATACCTCCCAGCTCCTGTGTCGCGTACGGGTCTGACAGGCACCCGACCACGAAATTGGCGGACTTGTTTGCGATCCACCTGTTGTTCCGCTTCGTCCTGAAGCCGACCTCGTGGTAGAAGCCCGCGGTGGCCTCCTCGTCCCGCGCCGCCACCGCGCACAAGAGCCGCGCGAGCCGCACCCGCTTCTCCCGTGAGAGGCATCTGAGCTGGCCCCAGTCGATCAGGCCGATGCCGCCGCCGTCCAGAAGCATGACGTTCCCTGGGTGCGGGTCTCCGTTCGCGAGGCCATGCGCGAAGAGCAGGTGCCCCTCGGCCTCGTAGATGAGGTCGCAGACCTCGTAGATGTTGGGGTTCGAGTGCTGCTGGGCAACGGGAATGCGCGCGCCAGGGTAGCCGGCCAAACGACAGACCGCGTTGGCCGGGAACGCCACCGACCAGTTCCAGACGAAGTTCCTGGCGGCCATCAACTTCAGGAGTAAGCCCATGGTCAGCCTCGCCGGAGGCTTACCAAGTTTTTCGACGATCTCGTCCACGGTGAAGTCCTTCAGCCTCTCTTTGAGCGACTGGGCGCTGGCGTAGCCATGCTTCCGCGCGGCCTCGGCCAGCTGATCGTCGCCCCACCTGGACACCGACTGCCCCTTCAGCACGTCCATGACGAGGACGTTCTTCGTGCACATCCCGTCGCGGAGCTCTGGGTCTGCGCCCGCCCTGAACGCCGCTGGCAGGCCCGGGTGGTCGTGCAAGAAAGGTCGGGGGACCAAGACTCTGCCATGGCTCGAGTGGAAGTCTTGAATACCGTCGTGCGCGAGCTTCTGCAGCCTTGCCTCCTTCACGTAGTCGAACTCGTTTGCGAAATTGTCCTTCAGTTTCTCGAGGATGCTCACGAAGCCAGGCGTCAACAGTTTGGCAGTATAGAGGAAGAGGTTCATGTCAATGTTGAAATTTCTCTCCGCATCCGTGTACTGAATTTTGACAACCACTGGCCTCCCAGAGTCCTTCAGCGTAGCGCTGTGCACCTGCCCGATGCTCGCCGACGCCAGAGGCTCCTTCGAAAAGTCCTCGAACACGTCATCGATGTTCTCCACACCGAGCTCCCTCTCGAGAATGGGCCTGAGCACCGTGTCGAAGTCCTCGTGGGGCGCGTCGTCGATCAGGGCCGAGAAGCGCTGGGCGTACGGCTGGGGGCACGCGGGCATCGAGTATGCCGCCTGCGCCAACTTCACGTAGTACCCGCGGGCTGCGAGCACGATGCCGAACACGTCGTCCGCGTACTTCTCGTGCAGGGCCGCGAAGGACTCGCTGCGGTTGTCGAGGAGCTCGCACCGCCTGTAGTCCAGGACGATGGGCACCGCGCGCCACAGGTAGTAGCAGGCCCTTCGGAAACCTTCGTCGTTGTTGTACGCGTAGCACACGCCGCCGCTGGTGCCCACGGCGGCAGCGCCACATGCGCGCCGAACGTAGGGCCAAATCCTGGGCGGCATCTCTCGGAGCCGGGCTCGAGCCAAAATGGCTACGGATGTGGGGGCTGCTCCGAAATGGGGCGGCACCGCCATGCGAACCTGGGCATGTGGGCAGAAGTTTGAGCTCCCTGTGGGGTTACGGAACTTGTGAGGGATGTGCCGACGTGAATCGGCGCCGCCATGCGAGCCTTGGCGTGTGGGCAATAGTTGGACCTCCTTATGGGACCACGAAATGTGTGCGAGGTGTGCCGAAATGAGGCGACGCCGCCATGCGAACCCTGGCATTTGGGGCTTAGTTGGAACTCCCCTTGAGGCCACGAAGCGTTTGAGGGGTGAGGGGTGTTCCGAAATGAGGCTGGCCGCCAAGCGAACCTTGGCATTTTGAATTTAGCTGGAGCTCCCTATAAGGTCACGAAGCGTGTGAGCAGTGTGCCGAAACGGACATGCGGAGAGCAGAAGCAGGGATGGGACGAGGGAGGAGGGGGAGAAGGTGATGAAGGAAGAACGCGGGGCGATGCGTATTCAAACCGAGGGCCCAACGCCACAGGATCGCTGTGAAAATGACACGGCGTCCGAAGTCTGGGTCCTGTTCAGGCGTGCGAGGTCTGGGTCCCTGTGAAGCCATTTCTCGGGGCCTGGAGGGCGCCAGGTACGCACCGACTACAACAGCGCGCGCGCGAGAGCGCGCTTATGCCCTCGTCCGCGCAGCGCAGGCCGCATTGACAGCGAACCCCAAAATGTCTCCTCTCTGTCTTCCTCCATATCTTCCCCCCATCCCTCATCCGACCGCCATCGTACTGTTATCAATCTCAGCTTTGCATCCAGAACTTGTCCGTGTCTATCTCCTTTGTTCTCCTCGCCCTCTTCAATCAACCCCTCATTCCTATTCGCCTCCCCACTCGCAATTTCCCTTCTCTCCTCCCTTCTGCCCTTCTAATCCAAGTCCTCCATCCTCCTCCTCCTCCTCCTCCTCCTCCTCCTCCTCCTCTTTCTCCTCCGAGCCCAAGTGGGCCCAAAGAGATCCCAAAGACGGCTTCCGACGGCGTCAGACAGGCCAGGATTGCCCTAAGACGGCCAAAGAGGTCGCCGAGAAGCCCGAAAGGCCCACAAGAGGCCCAAGAGGCCAAGAGGCTTGCAGGAAGCTCCCAGAAGGCTCCAAGAGTGCCCCCAGAGGCTCCCAAGATTGCCACTCCTTCTCCTCCTCCTTCTCCTCTTCCTCCTCCTCCTCCTCCTCCTCCTCTGTCTCCTCCTCCTCCTGATCTTCCCCGCCATCCTCCCCCAAAAGTTCCCCCAAGGGTTTCCACGACGGCTGGGGGAACCCATGGTCCGATAACTTGGCAGAGCTCGTGCCACAACGCTCGGCCGCAAGGGCGATTGCAGAAGGCAGGGGGGACGGTGATTCGCCGCAGGCATCTTCGATAAAAATGGCTGACCGTTATTGGTGTATTTTCCGGGTGTATGGCTTAGATGCAGATACAAGCGTTGTTGCTGGTTTTCTCTTGGCGTTCGTGACAGAAGTCCGTGGTGCCTGTGACGGATGTATGCGAATGTTGCTTGTTCTTCATGCCGGTTGCTGATCTAGGCTCTCTTCCTATCTACTCAGCATCTCCTCTCAGTGCCTGTCATTGTGAATGCGCTTGGTCTGATCAATTGGTGGGTGTGAATATTTGTTTTGATTTTTGCTTGTTTTCAATGCCGCCCCGAGTAATCGATTCATTCTCACGCCGTCTGAAGGGACAACACTTGAAAAACACGGCCGTGGCCAATGGAGAAAACCTGCGCCGCGCTAGCTGCGCGTCGAGCGGACAACCTCGAGCTGTGTGCACCGTCCGCTGGCGCTTGCGGGCCGCCCCCGCAAGATCACCAGGGCGCGAAGAACCCGTTGGCGTTCGCGAGCACCGACCCGAAGAAGAGGATGGTCATCGAGATCACGTAGTTGTTCCCGCCCACGTCTCCCAGGCTCAATCCCGCGGGCGGCGGAGGGGTGGTCGTCACCGGCGCCCCGCCGAAGAACTGCATCTCCACCGAGGGGGCGCGCTGGCCCGCGCGGAGCCCCGCCGGGGAGGCGCCGACGAAGGACAGCGCGAGGGAGCCCATCAGCAGGGCGGCGGCAGCCGCGGCGGCGCAGGCGAGCAACAGGGACGCGGAGCGGGCCATCGCTGTGCCTCGCGGGATGCGTGAGGGCGGTGCCGCGAGGAGTGGTCGGCGCTGAACGGCTAGAGCCGAAAAGGACTTGAGCCAAAATGAAAACGGACAGTCGGTGTGTGAAACTGACGCGTGTATGTTCTTGATGTCGGCCAGCTGTGTCTGCCATTGACGTGCGGTTGTGGTGCACGTTCTTGATGTCTTTCTCCTGATACCTGATCTTGACATCTGTGGACGGCGTGACGTTGTGACGCCTGGAGGGCGTGACGATTCCCTGATGTGGGGAAACCAATAGGTGCCGATACCGCGACTCTCCCAGACCTCTCCTGGGGTGCGTTCTCACCAGAATTTCGAGGCAAACCGAGCGGTGGCGACGAGAGCCTCCCAGAAGGCCCAAAAGGGGAAAGCGGCCGAAGGGTAGAGGTGCAGTGCAGTGCAGGTCCGATCGCGCGCGGAGGCCGCACGCGCCCCACAAGTGGAGGCGGCGATGGAAAACCCCTCGGAGAGATGACAATTGCAGGCAGGCCACTGCAAAGTCATACAAATTCACCAAATCGCCCTCGAAACCCGCGAAGTCGAACGCTCGTGTGCCATGATGATGGGGAACTTTCCCTCCTCTGATGATGGGGCTCGGCGAGGCGGGCCACCCAGGGACCCCCTGAACTTCCTCTGTTCGGGCCGGGCGAAAGGGGGGGATAGCCATGCAAGGGGGGGGTTGAGAATCGGCTCACGTAATTAGCTGATTTTCCCGGCGCCTCCCGGCACCATGTATCGAGGAATGGGCCCGGCGGCGGGGCCGAAACCAGCTGCATGCAGCAGATTTCGTACCCCCCTCCCCTTTCGCTATCCCCCCCTGTCGCTCGGCCCGAAGCCAGGGACCCCCTGCGAGGCGGGGATTTAGGACGCATCCATATCCGCCGCCTGGGCACCGACGTCCTGGTGCCCCAGCGGGGCGGTGGACATGGACACGTTTCGGCCCCCGGGGGCCCGAACGTGTGCACGTCCACCGCCTGCCGAGGCTCGGAGAACTGACCCTCCAGGCGGTGGTCGTGTAGAAATCCCCGCCTCGGACCCCCTGAACTTCCTCCTCCTGAAGGGGCCCTGGAACACAAGTAACAGGGTTCCCATATTTTCCAATATTTTCTGGGGTTTTGTCTTCCCCCCCACTTCCCATATTGTCCCATGTTTTCTGGGGGATCGACGATCAATTGTGTCTGTGTGTTGTTTTCCCTCCTGACTTCCTCTGTGCTCGGCGGCCGCGGCACGCCAGTGCAGGACTGGCGAGGCACGGGCGCGCACGAGGGCCGCGCTCCTTGAAGGTGGTAGCCCTCCCCCTTTCCCTATCCCCCCTCCTTTCCTACCCCCCCTCCCCTTTCCCTATCGTGACGTGATTTCGTACCCCCCCCCCTTTCCTTATCCCCCCCCCTTTCCCTATCGTGGCGTGATTTCGTACCCCCCCCCCCTTTCCCTCATTACCCCCTCCTTTCGTTCGGCCCGAAGCCGGGGACCCCCCTGGACTTCCTCTTGTGCCCCGGGCGGCCGCGGCACGCCAATGCAGCACTGGCGGCGAGGCAGGGGCGCTCGCTCCCGAGGGCCGCCGCGCGCCCCTTGGGGCGGGGAGGCTGGGCCCGCCCGCCGCGGTCTTGGCACGGGGCCGGCGAGGCATGGGCGCCAAGGCAAAAGGATCCAACGGCCCCGACCTGCGGGGTGAACCATCGGAGGAGGTGGCCTCGATTGCCATCATCGTCGTCGTCGTCGTCGGAGGAGGAGGAGGGGGAGGAGGAGCAGGAGGAGGAGGAAGAGGAAGAAGAAGAGACGGAGGAGAAGGAGGAGGAGGAGGAGGAGTGAAGAGGAGGAGGAGTGAAGAGGAGGAGGAGGAGGAGGAGGAGGAGGAGGAGGAGGAGGAGGAGGAGGAGGAGGAGGAGGAGGGGAGTGAAGAGGAGGAGGGGAAGGAGGAGGGGAGGAGGAGGAGGTGGAGGAGGAGGAGGAGGAGCAGGAGGAGCAGGAGCAGGAGCAGGAGGAGGAGGAGGGTGTGGAACAGACCATCGGGGGTGTGCCCACTGCCACTTCCCAGGAGGAGGGGGAGGTCCGCATGTCCTGCCTCTCGCGACGCCGATGGACAGACAGGAGGGGCATGGACGAGAGGGGCGAGGGTGCATGAGAGGGGGCGCGGAGCGGGGAGGAGTGGGGAAGGGCGGGGTGGGACGCTGAATGATGGATCGGGAGTGGAGGAGAGTGAAAGGGGGTTGGCTTGGCTTGGCTTGGGTTGGCTCTAAAGGCGGTCAAGCGGGCTTACTCAAAGCCCTCGAGGCCATTTTCTCATTGAGAGTCGGAGTCCGACCCCGCAGAGGCTCGCCAGATGGCTTGCCGACCCAAGCCCTGCACGCATGGCGCGTGGGCGATCGTCGGCAGTCAGGCCGAACGCTCGGAGTATGATGTACTTCCCCCCCCAGCCCCTAGGGGGAGTGGAGGGGGAGATGGGAGAAGGTTACTCGGAGGCGGTGTAAAAAATGAACCCGGCGCGACCCAAATTAGGGCAAAGCTTCCTGTTGCATAGGCGCAGTGCTTGGTATTGCTTGGCATTGCATGGCATTGCTTGGTATTGCTTGGCATTGCTCGACATTGCCGAGGAACCCGAGGAACCCGAGGGACCCAAGGAACCCGGGGAATCTTCAGGGAACGGGCAAAGTAGCACTCCGAGATACCAGTCTTCTTAACCAAAAAAGGACCCCTTAGAAGAAGCCACCAAGACGGCCCAAGATGGCTCCAAGATGCCTCCGAGTCCGCCCAACGAGCCTCCGAGATGGCCCAAGACGGCCCCACAAGCTCCCAAGAGGCCCCCAAAACGTCCTCTAGGAGGGCCCGAGAAGGCCAACGTCATGTGTTTCTTTTTAAAGTTGTAGAAGATCTTGGCATCTGCTTCTTATCGGCCTCCCGACAATATGAAACCGAATTGGGAAATGAGGGGCAAGTCAGAAGTCGCCATCTGTAGAGGCCTCCTAGATGGGATCGCGCCACGTCGCCGATACATCGGCTTTCATCGGCGATGCATCGGCGATGTCGGCGACGCATCGGCGACGCGCATCGCCGTGGGGAGAAGTGGGCCACATCGAGCCGCATCGGCGATGCATCGGCGATGCGGTGCGATCCTCCGACCCAATGTACTGCGACCCCATCTAAGAGGCCTAGAATCTGGTCACCTATACTGACCTCCCCGGCCGCACCAATCTGGGGCCCAGGACCAGTGGAGAGGCCCCGCCCTAGCCGAATCAATAAGCCTGCTGCCGGGGCCAGGCAGGCCAGGCGCGTACCGAGATGGGGCCCAAGGCTTGGCCTGGATGGGATCGGCATACGGCAAATTCGTGTCGCGTCGATCCCGTTGGTTGCTGACACCGCGGGGATCATTCAACCTTGAATGCTCGGCCGTTTACAAAACGTTGAACGCCGTTCAAACTTGAACGCCGGGTCTCCGGCGGCGTTTGACCCGGAACGCCGGCGGAAGGGTTGTCGACACGACGCGAACCCTGCCGTATCGACTTGGGGATCGGCTACAGAATTGATGAACAGTCGACCCGTACAGTGGAGGCCTGTCCACAAGAAGCACCCTGCTTGCCTCCAGGGAGCCTTATGTTTCTAGGGTTTCGATGGTTGTTTGCTATGGAAAGCGTGGCGTTCCCACAGCAAAGATCCGCGGACGTCCCAGGGTGCCAGGGTTGGGCTTCTTGTGGAAGGTATCTTGTGGTCGGGCCCCGCCTGTGTCACAAGGATGCGCGATAAGGATGCAAGGGCCTTGGCATGCCATGTCGACACTTTGCGAGTGGGGCGCGGCCAGCGAGAGATGTCGAGGATGGGCCGAGGAGGCGAAGATGCAAGGGTACCCTTGGGAAGGTTGCTCATCCTTACTATGCGGGTGGACTGTACTCCAGAATTGTTCTTTCCGTAGGCTCTACGAAAAATACTACGGAGCATTCTACGTGGTTATTATTCGTAGATTCGAAAGGAAATTCACTTTTGGGTCAAATCAATTATGTAGGCGATCCCCTACTCGAGTGTAGGTGGGCTCTGGGGCTCATGTTCGGTTCTGAATCTCTCGACCCCAGCATTCGTTTAGCATGCGCGCCTGGCAGGGCTCGCACGCGGCCCTCCAGAAACGCAACCTCGCAACAGCTGGGCATTCTCTCCAAGACGCCAGAGGTCTGGGTGGCGCTTCTCCTGGAGAGCAAGGGGGAGGATGCAGAGGAGGGCGTGAAGGAGGAGGATGGGGATGATGAGGAGAAACGAAGGAGCATCATGGAAGAGGGGGGGCGGAGGAGGAGGAGGAGGAGGAGGAGGAGGAGGAGGAGGAGGAGAGGGATGGAGAGAATGGGGGGGTGGAGGGGGAGGGGAGAGAAAAGGAGAGGAGGCGGTGGAGGATGTGGCACAGGACGAGGCGCAGGAGGACGGAACAGGGCGGAGGGAGGGAGGCGGAGGAGGAGGAGCAGGAGGAGGGAGGAGGGAGGAGGAGGAGGAGGAGGAGAAGGAGGAGGCGGAGGAGGAGGAGGGAGGAGGACGAGGGGGAGGAGGGGGAGGACGACGATGCAGGAGGATGAGGAGGAGGAGGAGCAGGAGGTGGACGGAGGAGGAGGAGGCGGAGGAGGAGGAGGAGAGGAGGAGGAGGAGCAGGAGGTGGAGGGAGGAGGAGGAGGAGGAGGAGGAGGAGGAGAGGAGGAGGAGGAGGAGGAGGAGGAGGACGACGACGATGCAGGAGGAGGAGGAGGAGGAGGAGGAGGAGGAGGAGGAGGGGGACGATGCAGGAGGAGGAGGAGGAGGAGACGGAGGAGGAGGAGGAGGAGGAGACGGAGGAGGAGGAGGGAGGAGAGGCTGAGGACGCGGGAGCCCGTGAGGGGGGGGGGCGGCCTGCATCTCATGCCGGGCCAGGCGCTGCTCGAGGATCTGCGTGCGGAACATCGCCTGCGCTCCCCCCTCGCCGTGCCGCCACGCCCCTCCCGGCTTCGGCGCGTCCCGCGCCTGCGGCGGCGACCTCCCCCCGCGCACCGGAGCAACATTTCCATACAGCTTCCGTAGCAGCTCATGGGAACCTTGTATACCGTCGGTCGGAAGAAGTACAGTCGAGGCGTTGACCTAAGGAATCCTAAATAAGGAACGGGGCCCCTTTTTTTCGTAAGTTAAACGTCGACTTCCCATCGAAAACTGAAGGGAAACCTTAGGCAAGGTGTGGAACAATTAAGGAACATCGAGCCCCTCCCCAACGAAAAAGGTTCCTTCTTCAGCGCCCCGACTGTAGGTAAAAACGTGAGGCAGGAGGGCGGATTGAGTTGATTGGGTCCAGGCCCCCCCCAGAGATTAACAAAACACAGCAAAAGCGTGCCGACTCTTGAAGTAGGAGGGCGCTTGAAGTAGATCGGGATCTGGGAATCCAAAAATTCCACGACTGCCGTATCTGCCGTCGCAGTTCCGCCTTTAGGAATGCACTGGCGCACGGGCGTCGCCTGGCGTCTGGCAGTCGATGCGGCCGCGCCGCAGCAGCGTCGAGGTGTGTCGACTCGCGCCGATGTGGCGTCGGCGAGCGCCGCTTCGCAGGAGCCAGCCAGGTGGTATTCGAGGCTCCCACGAGGTGCTGCCGAGTCCACTGCTGGCAGTGCTGGACGCGCGGGGCACCGCACGTGCCGCGCGGGAATCATCCTGTTGGCGCGCGCGCTGGGGAGCCCCAGTGCAGCGCAAGACTGAGAGGCCCTGCTGCGTGCGCTGTGGAGCTCTCTTCGGTGTGTCCTGCAGGACGGGCCAGCGCCGCAACGCGCGCGCGCGCGCGTGGGGCACTCCTCCATCGCGCGCAGCACTGAAGCCCGATTACAAGGAAGGCCAGGCGGGGCATGCGCACCGTGATGTGCTCATGCAGATGTCCAAGCGGTGCGCGCGAGTGCCGATCCCTAAATTTCTTGCTCGTCATGGCGGACGTCTATTTTCATAAGAAAAAGAAGCCACCACGGAGAATGGGCGTGAGGATGGGCCAACTTTCTACGATGCGCACTTGAGCTAGCGGCTGACCGAAGCAGCAGGTGACCCGGGCGATTCCAGATCCAGTGGAAAATCATTCCCCCGCGCACACCAGCATACCTCATAACATTGATTGACGGGCAACACGCTTACCGCCAAACGCCTAATACAAGCCCAATATGGAACCAATGTAGACCTGGCCCAACGGGTGACACCAACAACGGGTGACCATGTGGCTTGGTTAACTGGGGCCACCCGTTATTGTGGAATCGCCCTCGTATACCGGCGCTGGCGATGTGGCTTATACACGGGAAGGCTGCTTCGCGCACAGTCCGAATGAAACGCGCCTTCACAGTAGACTTCAAGTTCTTAGAGAAGCCTGGGAACACCTCATGTTGTTGAATGAATACCTGAGCCAACGGGTATCCACAACAAGTTGTGGCCGACCTGCGTCATCTGCTCTGGCGGAAACCGCGCACTGCATGCCGCCCACAGTATCACCTCAACAGGGCTTCCTCACAAGAAGCCATACAGTATGGACTCGACCAGAAGAACCATTCCACAAGAAACCCAACTCTGAGACCCCAAGATGTCCATAGATTTGTGGAATGGGAACGTCACGCTTTCCATAGCAAAACCGTCGACACCCCAGAAATACAGGGCCCCCTGGAGGCAAACAGGATGTTTCTCAGCATGGGTCTCCACTGCATCTGACGACGAAAACCAACATGTGAACCCGTGCGGTGACCCCACGTTCCCAACAATGGAACTGGAAACACGCCGCCTTGCTCAATGCGCACCTGTGTCGATGGGTGATTGATCGACGGGCGACCAGGCTGGAACCGCCCCTGCATGCCCGCACGCAGGATGCAGTGCATCCGTCGGATGCTTGACGTGATATCCCAATTGAAGGAGCCCATTAAAGCAAGACCTAACGTACCAAAACGAAAGTGAGCCACATCGTATTGTCAAAGGCATTCAGCGCAGGCGGATAACCGCAGCGGCGTGTAAACCGAGTCACCCGCTGTGGGAATCGCTCCATGCGCGTGCGCTCATAATGCAATTTACACACGCGGGATCTTGTTCAACGCGAGAGAATATCATCATAAACTGTCACGACAACATTGCAACAATAGGCTAACGAAAAACCGCGTCAACGGGAGACGCGTGGATGGCCCAGTTCACCCATTTATGTGAAAATCAGCCCCGTTTGCATGCTCCCACGCTTCCATTTGCTCACTGGGTGGGGGGCACTCACCACGAAAGCAAAAGGGTGATCCTCTCTCCCTCCTGCTCCCTCCTCCATGCCTGGGTCCGTACCTGGATTCGTGAGGCCAGGCGTTGGGCACTGGATGCCCTGCTCATCTCCTGTCCTCGTACTCGTCGCTTTTATCCCCCTCCGATTCCTTTTTCTTCCTCTCCTCCTTCTCCTCCTCCTCCTCCTCCTGTCCTTCTCTCCGGCGTAGGCTCCGAGCCTGGCGCTTCTCTCCTAGCACTCTGCGCGGGGCTGCCGCAAGGCATGAGCGAGGACCTCGAGCGAACCCTTTGAGCGCTCGCTGCTCTGGCTTCCAACGCCTGACGACCGAACGCCCAGCCCCGACTGTCCAGCGCACCACCAAAAACTTTGATCTGCAGGGCGAGAGCGAGCCTCTTCCGCTGAAGGCTAAGCAGGACGCGCACAGCTTCAATTACCAGAGAACGGGCGGGAGAAGGCGGGGCCTCGCGCGGCCGGGAGAGGGCGAAGCCCAGGGATCAGGCGGTGCCGAAGTGGACGTGCAGGAAAAGGTACACTTTGGACAGGAGCCCGGTGGGAAGCGGGTCCTGAGGGAAACGGGCCCCGGAGCCCGGGGCCTTCCCCCAGGACGAGATCATCACCCCGAGCCGTTCTCTGACCATACTGGGGCCCCGTGGAGGCCCCCGAGAGCTCGAAAGCGGCTAAAAAAGCTGAGGGCCCGCTTCCTTCAGGCTTCCCCCACGGCGAGCAGACATGCGCGAGGAGGCTGGCACCGCCGCGCGCGCCGGCCCGCCCTCTTCGGGGGGGGCATGCGCAGCCGCCCGCGAGGCGCGTCGCCGGCCCACCCCACAAGCCCGTGCGGAGTGGCGGCGCGGGCGCATGTTGCCAGAGCGGTGCCAACCAGCGGCAGGGCC